ACCATCTTGGCTATCTGCTCCTGGTCCTGTCCTGCTTAGAAAGTTTGTAAGATTTAATAAATATGATGACCTTGTGAAGCCAGTTCAACTTTTGGAATCAAATCCACAGTACGCTCTCGTCAGAAGAAGAGATGGGTCAGAATCACAAGTATCCCTGAAACATCTTGCACCCGCTGGCCTACCTCATGAAGACAACACTATTGAGAAAGAGGTTGTTGAAAATATAAATTCAGACATTGGCCACAATGAAGTTCAAAATGAAACTCAACAAACGGTATCTCAGACCCCAACTTCAGAGACGGCTGTGGGGGAACTACGTCCAAAGAGGAATGTCAAGCCTCCGTCATATCTAAAGGATTACATATGCTATACCTACCTTGAAAAATAGTGGGGGTGGATGTGGTGATGTGAACATTATCACCTGATAATATTTATTATTTGATTTGTTTGTAAATATTGTATTTGTTCTTAACTAAAACATGGTTGTAATTTTGAATGAATAAAAGCCATACTTTTGGTTTACTAAGTCTTTCTTACAACACTAAGCACTGGTTAAATCTAATGTTATTTAAATTGGGAATAAATATGTCTTATTTATGGAAATATTTTAGTAAAAATGTAATCAGACAAGTTGAAATTCGCTTAGTCTGCAGGTTTGCTGCGGCAGGGGTATTTTTTGGTGTATCAACTAGTAAATATGAAATGAACGAGATAAATAGATCTCGTAACGCACTGAAGTAAAAGGGTCTCGTATCAAAAATAGTCGTTCCAAGCACTACATGAGGCTAATGGGGTGATTAGTAACCATGGTAACCTTTGTCGAATGCTTGGATGAAAGAAGGAAACCAAAGAAATAATTCAAGAACAAAGAGAAAGAATAATGGCGTTTTTATGCTATTATTTTTATGAGTTATCTAATGTTTTATAGGTTTACATATTTATCGTTTTCAACTACAGGAACATAAATCTTGTTTAACTATCGACGTGTTTCTCTTCTAAAACAGCACTAACGGATGCGTATTAAAGGTCACTCACTGGTAAATGACCTAAAATATCACGATTGTGCAATGTTGTATTTTGATGTAAAAAAGCAAATCATTTACATTAATTTGAATATTTCTCCTGGTCCCTACTAAATCATACAAAAATCAATGCTAAATAATCGTCAAACCGGACAAGCAATTTCCGATAAACAACTTTGTATCATTGGTTTTTGTTTTGCGATTGGGATCCCTTTCTCAGCCCTTTAGGGAAGTGGTGCAAGTCTAAATATAGCTTCAAGGTTGCACCCATCCCTTCCCCCCGCCCACTCGACTCACTGTTGGCACGCACTCATTTCGAGGTCATAGCCCAACCCCAAAATTATAACAAAATAAATACAGTAATTTGTAAACATATTTCATTTGTATTTTATTTAGCCTGAAATCAGCCGTAAGGAAACGCATTCATTAAAAAGTGATTAACCCTCCGAGCGTCACTCGTCGAAAAATCGACGCGCGACACACTTTGTGTAGTGTCACACGTCGATTTTTCGACGCACGAACATCGTTTACGGCGATGTTCAGGAGGCGAAGGCGTATTTCGTACAGACCTCTGGCGAAGGCTCTATGACTGACTGAATCGGATTGAACTGGATCGAGTTAGGTATCGTTCTTTTCGTTATATTCTACGCTTTCTCCAGAGGTCTGTCTCCAAGCGCTTTATGTTCTCCGAGCCGATCGTAATTGTAGCAGACAGCTGACGTGCGTATTTGTAAACAGCTAGGTTACCCTCGGACCCATGACTGATGTGTTTTATTACGTTTATCATTGTTTTAGTGTTAAAAATCAAAAGTAGTGATATACGTGGTGCATTATAAGAAGATTTAAGTGATTTTGAAGGGCTGGTTGATGATCCTGAAGAAGTAGGTAGTGATATTGATGTAAATTATCAGCCAGATTCCTAGCTATGGTTAGGCTATGCATTCTTAGCTAAACGCTATGTACTGAAATCTGTTTTTTGCCCATAACTTATGTATTTGCAAATCTACTTCCTTATATTATTATATATTTGTAATCATCATAAAACTTAGAACAAAGTGGCTATTTTCAAATATTTATAGGCCTATAATTTATACAATTTCATTGAGCGCGAACTTATTTTTTTTTTTTGAACATATTCCAAAATATTTTTTTTTTACCTAACAAATTTTTTTGAAACAAATGTCCCTTATGTTTTATGTATAATATTGAAGCCCATGATTTTCCAAACAAAATGGTATATAGAACAGTAGAATTAACATTGTTTTAAGCTTCTCAGATCCGTTTTAATAAAACCTTGCAAATGCGCCAAAAATAGGCGGACATTAAGGCCTAAACTATGGACACTCGGAGGGTTAAAGAAAGATAAAATATATTTTTTATAACAGTTACGATTATAAGGAATTCGTAAATAAACAGATAACATATATTTTTCTTAATTTGTTATTGTAGGAAAAGAATAAATACAAATAAATAATGAACTATTACAGCTGTGCGGTACGAGATCTCGGGGTCTCGTACAATGACGTCATATTTACTTCCTGCACTGGCTGAAGATTGTCAACATTGTACTGGTTCAGATAAACAAACACTCAGCGCTCTCTCGCCTTTCTTTACGAGGTTATGATGCGCAAAAGATTACTGCGCAACCTAATCTCGGGGTCTCGTATCGCACCTGGGTAATCATAGCGGACGAGACCTATAGATCTCGTAACGCACCATTGGAATAATGCTGGAAAATATACAACGCAGTGAACATGTTAATGAATATGAGAGAGAGAAAATGAACACACTTATTAGGTTTACAAGAGGACAAGAACTGTTTTTATTTACATTTTGATACACACAACATATGTTAACAATAGAGAATAATTTAATTTGATTAAGAACACATGTTACAAGGAAAAGATATTGTACATTAAATAAAACATAGAGTGTTAAATTATATGAATGGTTCAAGTTTACTGAACAAGCTGATTGGTGGACTTCTATATCTTTCAGTGTGTACAAGGCCTGATATATCGTATGTTACAAACTACAGTAGAACCTCTTTAATCTGAACCCCTGTAATCCGAACGTCCACTAATCCGAACGCCTCATTGCTGTACTCTATACACAGAACATTAGTTTTTTATTGAATACGGTATTTATTGATATACGCACCATATTTATTTCAATTGTAATGTACAGTACTGTTTATTCCCTATGTTTACTACTGTATTAATTAAATAAACACTGTTTTTTACTTTATAAAGCATTTTTCCCTTTTCCCTAGCTATTGTTATGTAAAAACAACAATATGTTCTGTAATCCAAACTATTCAATAGTCCGAACTACCCCAGGTCCCTATTAGTTCGGATTAAAGAGGTTCTACTGTATTTAAGTCAGTTCAACACATGTCATGATAAAAGTCGTTGGATTGCAGCGAAGCGTCTACTGAGATATCTAGTTGGGACTAGAAAGTATGCACTTACATTCAGATCTACCAATAACTTCAATTTGGAAGTTGACACAGATTGGGCTGGCAACACTATTGATAGAAGATCGTCAACTGGTTTTGTCTTGAAAGCTGGAGGATGTGCAGTTTCTTGGGAATCAAGGAAACAACGTACTGTTGCTTTATCCAGTACGAAAGCGGAATACTTAGCAATGAGTAATATAACTAAAGAGGTGTGTTTTATGAAAAACTTCTTAAGTGAAATAAGTGACAAGCTCTACACCGTTGTACTATATGATAACAATCAAAGTGCTCAGAAGTTTATTCAAAACACTCAAGATCATAATCGCACGAAGCACATTGATGTTAGATATCACTTCATTAGAGAAGCTGTACAAAAGAAGTTCATTGAAATCAAGTATATGCTAACAAAAAAAACGGCAGATATTTTAACTAAATCTTTGTCATGTGAAAAATGTTATCACTTTGTGACGGACTTGGGACTTAAAGATTCTGATTAAATAAAAAAGATTTTTGATTAAGGGGGAATGTTGAGGATTTTATATAGTATTGTTTTGCTTGTGCTATATAATCAAATATATTTTAAATGTATCTTTTATATCAGCTGCTTGATTATTTTATGTTGTTCTAATATGTTTACATTGAAGTGTTAGTGTTTTAATATTTTTCCTTTTTACATCAATAATTATTAATAAAGTATTTTATGTATTTTATTCCCTCGTTTCATCAAGGTCGATGATGTCTTTAGGATCGGGAAGATGATCACAGTTCTGCTGCTATTGTGGGTGACGATCATTATGTCCCTGCGATCATGGATTATAGTCATGATGACTGGAAATAAAAAATCCTGTCCCGTCCTGAATTAAAAATACCATCCTGACTATTATTACTTTAGAAAATAAGGGATTTTTACTCAATTTTTTGTATGTGTTGTAGTTTTAATGTTAAAGTGAGTTTATAATAATCAGAGGTTTTATGTACAGCACTTACTATGTACACTCGCCACCCACTTCCACGCTCCTGGACTGCAATTGTTTACTATTATTTATTATTTTTATCAAATCTTTATGCAGGTACTTTGGCTGTCTCAAATTTACTAAGAGCTCTCTTAGTAGCTCTAATTAACTAAAATTGAGTCTCAAGTACCTTATGGCCCAGAATAGAGGCCGCCCGTTTAAGCCAGTTTATCATGTTTCTACTGTATTTAGAAATCAACCCATACTATTCTAGGTAACATGTTATTCATTGTTCAAATGTGTATTGTATTTTTAGTTGTTCAAAAGTGTAAAACTGTTTTCATATTTAAAAAGAAATTTAAAATTGTAACACTTTTTCTAGTACTGTATTTTTAGAACAGTTAATTGACCATCTGAAGTAATAGGAGATGAAAACCATCCTTAAGTAATTGATTTATCAATATATTTCTCTAAAAGTGAAGGAAACAACCCCCCCACCATTGCTCTCCCTTAACACATCTACAGATGTAGGATTTCAACTCTTGTAATAAAAGTGTTCTGTCACAGGGATTCTCTACCCAAGGCTGGCAAATACCAAGCATCCCTTGTGAGACTGGGGTGACTCCTGCTCCGGCACCACCCAAGTCAAAGTCTAATGACAAGATTGTCAAAGCCCTCAGTGGTGTCATGGATACGTTTGACAACCTTCTATAACTAGACTGTGTAGTTGTTATCTTACCAAATATATTTATTTGATCTACAAGTTAACTAAGATTTGTAGTATTGCAATTTGATATTATATGTACCTTGGTATTATATGTTTGGGTAATTCAATTTGAGTTTTAAACTGTTGTAAACCAGTTTTTAAGTAGGCTTCTTCAACTAGTTTGACAAAATTTATTGCTGACAATCCATTATTTATTGAACCCTTGAGAGAGCTTATTATGATTTAATAAATTTAACCAACTAGATAACCTGTTGCTCAAAATTGAGCAAAACTGCAACTTGTAATAAAATAATGAAGAAAAAACATAGACAGCAAGACCTCAATCATAGAGTCACTCTAAAGTAATTTCTATCACTGATTATAGAAATATGAAAAATATTATGTTGTAAAAATTATAAAAGCAATCAACGGTACAATATTTAAATATAGATCTGTTCTCATACTGCTTTGGTTATCTCTTATGTACTGTCGCCCTCTATGAGAACGTAGATGTCAACCACACACTGTAAAGTGATCTTTTCAAACCTAATGTAGCAAGCTTAATCCCTCTCTTGACGCCAACCAGTACGACACGTATTCTAGCATTATTAAATTATTCCTACGATATGTTCTGTTTTAGGCGTGTTTAAGTTAGGTGCCCCAACCATAGTCTCCGGTTGGGACCATAAGAGTGTATTTCACGACGGATCTAGAATGGATTCACGGTTAACATTATTAGTTTTTGAACTGCCACTCTGTATCTGTCAAATTGTGAGGTTGATGCAAGTGGTCACGTTTGCGCTCCTTCCAGCCACTCACAGTTCTTCGTCTTACTGGTGGCATTTTATTTTAAATTTAGATAAAATATGAAAGTTAACCAATCAACAGAAAAAACTAGAAAGTAATTTTGACACACATTGTAAATTACATGATAATGTGGTAATGTAACGGGTAACTGCACTGTAAATAATCACTTTCAAACATTCACTTAATCACACCGAACTGTAACCAAAACTACATGATAATTCAGTAAAATACGATGTAAGGTAAATAAATGCCACTATTACAAACAATTTGTTTGTCAGGTCTTGCTAGGAAACTCTTTTTTTATAAACCAGACTGAGATGTTTAAATAAAAATATAAAATTCCGGCTTTGATCTGGAAGTAATAAGTCCTAGAGTCTGTGGTTAACCTTAAAAACTATATCAAACTACGTCCATATATTTAGTTGTAAACAAAGGGAATCGAGTTTTATGGTTTGATCTAATGTCAACAGGTAGCGCCGCCGTTCCCAAACTTAAGCCCTTAACTGTACTTAAGTGATGCCCTTTCTTAATACTCTTAGACGTATTTGCACATCTACGTGAAAATGCCTTTAATTTGACACCTCAAACGTTAAAATCCGCCAAGCCGTTATCTAGTTATGACTGTGAAAAGAAAACTGCTTGCGTATTAATATATAGATAATAAATTAATTATAATAATTAATTAAATAAACCAATCGATTATGATTTAACCAATTGATGTATTACAGGCCTTTTATTCAGGCCTTAACATCAATAAAAATCTTCTTAACTACCGAACTGATTTGACTAAACTCATTTTGTTTGAAATTGAGTATACTGTATAGGGTTTTATTTTTGAAAAAAATTTGGATTACTTAATAACGTTTAAACACCATATTAGGTAAAGAAAACTTGGTATACCTATTTAACCCCTTAACCGCGACACACACGTTATTTAGTGGTAGTATTCTGTACACGTTATTTCGATGCAACACCCTTGTGGAGTTAACCGCGACGCCCGAGTTTAGACGGTTTTGACGTTCTCAGCTGATTTATTTCATTGATACAAGTCTTCTGCTCATTTCTTTCCATGGTACATTGACCCTGAGAATTGACAGACCATTTAGTGCTGCACTCAAGTGTATCTTTCTGGAACTAAATCTATGCCACATGTTCTGCAGTATCATAGGTTGTGCTTGGTAGTTGTAAATAAAATTTTGTATACAAGAAATGAGGCAAGGCTGCTTTTAAAAGACGTTTTGTTTATTAAATCTTTATACAGTGTAGAAGATAAGTCCCGGAACGTTTTAATATATTTTTTACCAATAGGCAAAAGGTTTTTTATTAGGGATAAAGTAATGAGACTCTGTATATCAATAATAGACATAAATTTCTACTCTTTTAAGCTATTATCACTTTTTTATTCCTTAAGGGGGGTGGGCTCACGAGGAGTCAAACAAAATTCTTAAATAACAGCATATGTCGAGTTTGGTATCAAATTAAAGGACTTAGGTAGCAAAACACATTGCTGCAAACCCGAACTCAAACGGACAACCGAGTCAAAAACGGCAGCCGTTTGAATATTTCTTGAGCCCTATGGGACCTACCTACCTACTCTAATTTCTCTCCATTCAGATTTTGACTCAGGGCCGGATTTCCCAATAGGCCCGGTAGGCCCGGGCCTATGGGCGCAAGCTCCCAGAGGGCGCATGGCCAAGAAAATTTTTATTTTAATATCTAAAAATAAAAATAAATAGTCATAGTTCATTAAAAAAACTCTGGCTAATAAAGCATTCTGATTCTGAAGTTCATAGAAAGAAATAATTGTTAGAAGATTTAAACTATTTTTCAGAATTACGCATCAATTTCGTTACAACATTGGTACGGGAGTAGGCTGTAGGGGTGTTGACGAGCGCCCGAGCTGTACGCATCGTATTGCCACTGCACTGCCACTATGTTGGCTCGGTGCTACTGATCGAGTAATTAGGGGTGCATGCGTGCTAGACACTGTTACCACCAAACACACAAAACAAATTACTCACAAAACAAAAGTTATTGACTAATCTTTTGATTAATTTACAACAATCTGCAGGATCAAGTTAAAATATATAATTAGTTGTGTTGAATATTTAAAAAAATATTAATTTATCTTTAAAATTAACGAACAAATATTAATATCAGTTTGCAACAGGTTTTCGACAAATTCAATACCCTCCCAAGCACCATTAATACTGTAAATTTCTCCTCAGACCTACAGGCCGCTGTACACGAGGACAGTAGTGGCGGACAGTAATGGCGGCCACTAGTGGCCGCCAGTATGTTTGACGGTCAGAACACCATTACACGGGGCCATTAGTAGCTTCCACTAACTGGCATAAAAGTGGACGCCAGTTGATCTGCGGTGTTTGACAAAAAAGGAGTGACGACTGTATTTAACATGATAGAAAGTGAAAAAGAGTATCAGGAAGCCGTTAATGATGCAGTTAGGGAAGTGGTGGTGTGTTTGAGTGAAGAACTGCAAGAAATATTGAATGAAAGTAGAACATGCTGGGTGAAGGAATGGGTATCCCGAAGAGAGACACTTGGAGCTTCAGCTACTATTATGCGTGAGCTCTCTGAAGAGGATCCTCTAGAATTCAAGAAACACCTGAGAATGAGTGTGAATCAGTTTAATGAACTGTTATCTTCAATCGAACCTAAGATTAAGAAAACTGATACGGTCATGAGAAATGCTATTCCTGCAAGAGCAAAGCTGGAAGTTGCTTTAAGGTATTTGGCTGCTGGTGACAGTTACCAGTCTCTTTCATTACTGTTCCGTATTCCGGCTTGCACGATTTCAAGATTTATGCCAGAAGTGCTAGAAGCTATTACAACTGCACTTAGTGATTACATGAAGGTAAGCTGGGTAATTTTTGAGTTTTGTAAGCTATATATTTTGCAGTAAAGAAACTACAGTTAGTGCCAAATGTGACTTTCAAGTCTGCCTATAAGACCAAGTTTAATTTAATATTGCCTTTATGGATGGACTAAACTGTCACATTTGGCACGAATAGTACATTAGGTTTAGTTTTAAAAAAGGGCCCGTTGTCAATGGTGTGACTGGTGCGGTAACCCTTGAACGATGGTCTCTGTACAGTTTGAGGCAAATGTTACGGACCAATGTAAGACAAATATGGTAAGACCTGGACCCAGGACCGATTTAATTTTTCGTTTTGAGGTCCCTAGAGGCCAAAAACACCATCCGTTCAAATTCATATATATATAAATATATATAAATATGATATAAATGTATTTATATATGTGTCCGTTAGCGCGATAACTCAAGCAGAAATGATCCGATTTTGATGAAATTTGGTACAAACGTGTAAACCTACGTTTATTCGAATGAGTTCGCGAACCGGCATAATCGGACCATGGGAACGGGGGTTTATGGAGGGTTTTATGGGGTAAAAATGGGGTTTTCCCATTTTTTACCCTAAAAACAAAAAATTTGCAATTTCTTTTTACACCTTTATGTTGAGATTAAAAAAAGAAATAATTTAGTAGGACTATATTGAAGCGCTGTTGTATGCCTAACGGTCACGGAGAAAATTCAAAAATAGTGTAATTTAAAATTCCCATGTTATTCTTATGGAGAAAATGAAAACTGTTGTAGTTTACTTGTTTATGGATATACTAGCTGTACCCGCGGGCTTTGCCCCGTTTAACTTCATAAGTATTCGCATGGCTCAATCACGTCCTGGTTGAATTTCGTTCGTTACGCTCACTCACCTTTGGGTTGGAGCTCGTTCGCTGCGCTCACTTGCCTTCAGTCGTTCGCTATGCTAACTCGCCTCCAGGTTGAAGTTCGTTCGCTACGCTCACTCACCTTTTGGTTGCAAATTAGCTGTTGTCATAAATTAAAAGTTAGTGCTGCACCCTGTTGGTAATCCTTGTAACTTTACTGCTATTGAACATCATAGAACAGAACCAACTTGTTTAATTGAAACAGCTGTTAAGAAATTCCTTTTAAATGAAAAATCATAAGGTTAACATGGGAAACTCCAGAGCCACTGGGGCGGAGCCCGAAAGTCCGATCAGGATAAAAACTACTTAGTTTTCCTATTTAATGCCCAAAGAATCGGTGTACCGAATTTCAGCCTCCTAGGTAAATGGGAAGTGGGAGAATTAGTGATGAGTGAGTGAGTGAGTGAGTGAGTGTGTCAGTCAGTGAGGGCTTTGCCTTTTATATATTTAGATATTGAAAAAATTTGGCAAATTTATTTATTTCATCCTATACTATTGACGTAAGGTCAAA